GTAACTGTTTGTGACCAATAAAAAAATGAATCAATAACTCGTAGAAAAAGAAACACGACATGGCCTAAACCAAAAAAGCTTTTTTGATTACACAAAAAAAAAAAACCAAAAGCACGAGCGAGATCAGGCACCAGAAGCTGCTCGGCATTGGTGCATAAGGATGAAGAAGAACAAGACCCAGATGAACAGAGAAAAGAAAGAAAACAAGAAAAATAAAAAAATTTCCCCAGGACGAAAATGCCCCCTTAGAAAGTGGCATGTGAGATGCATGTGCTCGCCGGATTCTTATTTGAGACTAATTTGACCACTTCATACCCTTATTTGACACATTGTGCACTCTTGATCCTTTTTTGAGAAACGGATTCCACTTCACATATTTATTTGGAATTTTTCCTTAGAATTGAGAGCACTAGAGAGAAAACACAAGAAAGAATAGAGGGAAAGGAAGAGGTCTCAATGAGAGCCTCCATGGCCGAGCCCGACACTGGTCATGAATTGCCCTTGCACCGAGCACCGTGCCGAGCCCTGCACTAGCATGACGGAGCCCTACAACAGCTGCGTTGTGTTCTTGGGCCTAGCCCTGCACCGGTGTGACATGCTCCTACGCCGAGCCATGAGACAACAAAGCTATTGATCCTTGTTCCTTGCCGACAAGCTGCGAGCCAAGGCATGACCGTTGACGACGAGCCTTGCACCCCCGACGACGAGCCACTTTTGCTCTGCATCGAGGATCCATGACAATGAATCTGGTTTCTGTTTTGTAGGTTCCTGTTGACCACCGTGTAAAGCTCTCCGATCCACCAACCTCCTGCCCCATCCGGTTACCGTGAGCTAGTTTGCATTGCGATCGAGACTAGCTCCCTTCACAATCTAATCCACCACCGCGGGCGTTCCTTCTAAAATCCCGAACTTTAATATTTTGCAGATTTAGACCATACTGACGAGCAATCGTTGGTTGTGAACCACCACATCGACGAGCAGCACTTCACACAGCCAAGCACCATATTGTCCCTGGCCGTGATCCGCAAGCCAGTGGCGCCAGTCACCTCCAGCCATGAGTCCGTCGGCGAGCCACACCGGACTCACCGTGAACCACCGCACCACCAACACGATCCATGAGCCGTCCATCGCTCAAATTCGGAAACATTATCTTTGAATTAGGTGAGATATTATTTGAATCGAATTTTCAAATTTATTTCCTAATTCGAATGAAATTGTTATCTAATGCACATCTATAAGATTTTGCAGGTAACCTTTAAATTAGGAAAATTTCCTAATCTGCAATGTGCGTATAATCAACCGTTCGAAATCATGCCCAAGAAACAATTCACAATTGCATGGAAAATCGGCCAATCCTGTATAATTATTTGGATATGATCGTCGGTTTATTTGTCACCAAATTTAAATTGATCTGATGTACTCTGATGATTCGGTGTTATCTTTATTTGATTTGCATGATTTGATTTGATTGATTCCTATCTAGAAAATATCAACAACAAAAAAAGATTAGATAGAATTAGAATAGATAGTGGATAGGATTTGGGTAGATTTTTGTAGATAATGTTGCATTTTTAAACTGGATTGCATGTTTAAATGAATCTAAAAAAAATCAAATAGGATATAGTATGGATAGCTTTCTAGAAAGATTGCATGCTAGGATTTGGTTTATCTAGTTTAGATAAGATTCCATTTAAATTAGGATTTGGCTCCTAAAATGAGTTGGATAATATCTTAATCTAGGAAATAATTTTCATTAATTTTTAATTTCGAATTTTAATGAAAATACCAAAAATATCATGTGCTTGTCATATAGAATTGGGTGCATATATTCCATGCCATGCCACGTCACATGCCATGCCATGTTGCTACGTCATCATTAAATGTCATGTCATCGTGCCACGTCATTTACGCTATGTCATTGTGTGCGCCACATCATCGCCATGTCATCGTGCCATGCCATGTCATCAATTCCATGTCATTTAGTGGTTGCATGCCAAGGTTCATTTAATTGCAAATCGCATGTCATTTTAGAGTAGTTGCATATCAATTATTACCAATCATAAGAATTAGGCCATTTCGATAATTGTTACTATGTTATTTTCTACTTCATTGCATTTAGACTAAGCTTACATTACATGCATTGTATATAACTTAGTTTTCATTTAAATAAAAGAAAACAAAAAAAAGGAGTTGATTGGAATTGTGTGATAATTAGAAACCATATTTAGGTCGAATATGTGTTTTTTTTTATTAACATTTGTAGTAGGTTGCTTGTCTTGCTTCGAAGTAAGTAAATTCCTCCCTTATCCTAGCAATTTATCATTACTTTGACTATTGGGTGTTTTATTAATAGTTGCACACCGATATGATCACCTCACATGTATTACTTAGATGTCCCGTCTTTTTCGAAAAAGTGATTCGATGGATGGGATTTGATAGGATATCGATGAGATTAATATTTAAATATTTCTTCTTAGAATGTATTGATTTGACCCCATAAGCAGGACCACCACCCCATAGCATGTTGGCAGAACCCCGTATTTCTTCTCGAGAATCTCCTAATCTTCTTTAACCAGAAAGAATTCAGTTCAGATGTAGGGTACATATTCGGAAGTTTTCACAACTCCAACATATATGATGGAATCATCCAAGATTTGACCTTTTCAAACTCTATTTGTAGCTCACTATAGGCTCGGGAAACAAAGAGAAGTGTACGAACGATATATGTAGCAACAACAAGAAGGAAAAGGATTGAATAGAGGAACTCCCAAACATTTGGCGATCTCAAATGGGTCGATATTAATGGTGACTCGTTATTTCGATGAATCATTTCTTTGGACAGAAGAAGATTATGTAAACACTTACTCAAAATCTCACTTATAAGATTTCATTGTGGAAGACATGATTTTTCTGAAGAATTTACCACGATATATCTAGGCCATGCATAATATCACAAAAAATGGATACAAATTTTTTACTGCTACTTAGTATCAGCAATAGGTCCGAAAAAGCATATAAGAATATCCAATTTAGATATTTTTACCCTGTCGAGGTAAAGAACCATGACATATATGTTTGGAATATATTCCATTTTGAGAGAGTTGACAAAGCACTATCTCGTTGAAAGGTTCTATACATCTATCCTTTCTCAACCCATTTCTTTAGACAAAGACTTTGTTTTTTCCTCTTTTCGGAGTCTTTGTCTAAAGAAATCTCAAATCAAACCATTTGTACTTACTTCAACAAAGGAAGTATGAGCCTCTTTGATAGAAGAACTTTTTTTTATCTTGGTCCCAATTCAAAATTAAACAAGTCTGAACTAATTGAATACCTGTATCAGAAATTCCCCAAATTCGTTTGTCATTTCTGTAAACAATATAATTGACCACTCAAAGTTGCATATTATCCCTTTGTTGAACATATCTTAGGGGAAGAGTGTTGCTAAATTTATACTGTCCAACATTTCATATGTCATTACTGGTCGACCTAAAACAAAATACTTTTTCCTAGTAGGTGTGATCCATTGGACATAGATCCAGTTTTTCAATTTTTTGGATTCTTGAATTTGTTTTTCTAGTTCCTTAGGGGTATCAAGATGCCACTGTGTCGGGATATCTTATTTGTCTCTCCAGGAAACTGGATATCTCTAGAAAAGATTTTCAGTTCAATCCTTTTTTTTTTCTCTCTACTTGGACTAATCCGCCCACTCAGCTTCTTGTATATAAAGCGATTCGTGTATCTACTTCAATCAGACTATTGTTCCATACCATTATCGAAGAAGATTCAGGTAACATATGCACTTCCTCGGGAATGAAAATAAAAATAGTTTAAAATCAATCAAAGCTGCCTTCCAAACATTTTTTTAATAAAAGAAACAATGTTCCGAAAGAGCGTTAGAGTAATCTAATGTAATCAAGTTCTCGAATCCATTTAATCTCTAGTTTGTAGAAGTAAAATAAATCTTCTAATACTTTACTTCGAATTGACCAACCAAAAATATATTAGAAGAGACTCCTGAATGAAAATGATTTGTATGTTAAGAATTTAAACTAAGTTGCAAATTAGTATATGCTTGGAATAGCCCGAGCTAGGTTTAAACTAAGCAATCCATGAGCCAACCCTTGGGTAGTTCAGTGGAGGGAATGTGCAACACTAATAAATTATCAACTAGTACTAGAATAACTTACCAAAGCGTTAAAGTTACGAACACAAATTTACCTATCCGAATTTAAGTGGAACACCAATTTATCTTCGATAAGATTTCCAACTAATTTTATGTTACCAACTCTTATGTGAAATACTCACCTATGTTTATTTGGTCAAACACTAAATTACCAAAATTTTCTAATAATTTACCAATTTCGTACAAACTTTGAAATTACAAACTAATTTTAGATGACCTACTCTTATTTGAACTACTTAACGACAATGGTTAGATCGCTTAAATAACGAAATATTCTTAATTAACTTACCAACTTTTATTGAATTATATGTAATTACCAACTTTATTTGACTCATTTACGACCTTTTTCTTGACATGTTGATAATAGCTACTTCTCATTGTTTATAGTAACTTCATACATGCAAAAGTAAGTTTAAACATTTCAGTAGCTAGTAATTTTTTCTAATTAGTCAAAAAAGTTTAATGTGGAAAAGTACAAGTTTTAATATGGATAGTAATTATTCATGTGAATCAGTAAGTTTTCTCATAAGAAACTAACTATTGATATATCTAAATTCAACAAACATACGTGATTAATAACAATTCTATAATGCAAAGTAACTTTAATATGCAATTGAAGTAACTTTTTCAGAGTAAATACAGTCTATAGTCAGTGATATAAGCAACATACTTCACCCATTTTTAAGACCACTGCGCCACATAATCATCCCAAATTCCAAAATCCGTACTGTACGTTGAATCGACCCATTCAACATATGAAAATATGCAATATCAAATGATGTAGTGATTTAACGCAAATTTAGAGTCGAATTTGTGATCATCGAGGATACAACTCGGTGATGGAAGCTTCATTCACTGATTCTTGGATTAGTCTGTTTCCGGATCGCAACACTGCATCAGATTCAGGAATATTGTGCAACGTGAATGCTGGTCGTGATGGTACTGGCAAGGTGGTGGAGTAACTATTGAGCATCAAAACCACCGCACCCATGGTTGGCCTATCAGCCTCAATTTCTTGAACACACAACAATCCAACATGAATGCACGTCAACAATTTGGTCCTCGAACCACTGGTCAAACTTGGATCTATGAGATTTGAGGGTGTCCCTTCCGCCCAACTCCTCCATGCCTGCAATGGATCATAAACGCAAACTCAGTATGGTAAGGACAGTTGTTCGACTCATTCACGTTCGGGTCCACAGCACTCTTTTCTGACGATTCTCTAGAGGAAGGAGAGTGTATTAGGGATATTTTCTTACATAGCTAAGAAAGTGTTCCATGGTATCCCCATTGCAAAAGTGGCTACATCTTTGACCACTAATAATCTCCAGTAGCAACACCCCAAAACTAAAGACATCTGACTTGACTGAGAACAATCCATGCATTGCGTACTCTGGAGCCATGTACCCACTGCATCACAGGAAGAATGAGCACTTTCAACACAATTCCATTTATTATGCCGTGCCTTTATATCTGCTAGCTATTCAGATTATATGAAGAAGAGCATGGGAAATATAACCGGATTTATCATAAGATACTCTATTGTCTATTACTTACAAAGTGCCAACAACCCTGTTTGTGGCATCTCGAGTTTGATCCATCATAAATAGCCTTGCCGTACCAAAATCTGAAATTTTAGGGGTCATATCTACGTCAAGCAAAATATTTCCCGCTTTAAGATCCCGATGAACGATTCGAAGTCGAGAATCCTCATGAAGATAAAGAAGCCCACGAGCAATGCCTCCTATTATCTTTTGACGCGTTTCCCAATCCAGCTGCCTACGCCTAACAGGATCTGCATAGCATATTGACAAAAGGTTATGGTGGATGTGACTAACGCAAGGTGACTTTCTATATGCAGATTGGCAAGTACATGCACTTCAATTATTCTTCAATCGGATGATGCTGGAACAAAAATGGCATGATCATACCATATAAAGAGCGATCCAGGCTTGAGTTTGGTACGAATTCATATATAAGAAGCCTTTCTTTCCCCTCCAGGCAAAAACCTAAGAGCCTAACCAAATTCCGGTGTTGAAGCCTTGCAACCAAGAGGACCTCATTCTTAAATTCTTGATCACCTTGTCCAATGGCTGTAGACGGCCTTTTTACTGCTATAACTTTTCCATCGGTCAAAGTTCCCTGAAAAAGAATGCGAAAAGCAGCCATAGACATGTGAATGTTTCAAATTCTCTCGTTATTTTATGAATGAACAATTTGCAGAGATTACCTTGTAAACTGTGCCAAATCCACCTTGTCCCAACTTATTTGCGTCAGAGAAGTCATTTGTTGCCGCTCTGATGGTACTCAAGTCGTACTGCAGGGATTCTGCAGTTCTGATTTCATCTACAGGTAAAGCTACAAAGTGGAATATCCGAAGTTGCTTATCTTCTGATTCCACATTATCAGTACGCTGATTAACAGTTAATAGTAAATCATTTTTATTTCACAGGTAATCCATTCAAAGAAAAATTTGTCCTCTGGGTGATGGTAGCAAATAAAAGGTTTTTCAGAGCAATCAGGGAACTTTGATGTCTATAGCCCACACTAAATCTGTCCTCGCTTAGTCAGAAATCACCGATCTCTGAATTTCTGAAAAGTTACTAGCTTTTGCACATCAAGGCTGAACTTATTGGCTGCTAATCTGTTTCAGATAGGTTGTATTCACCCAGTATTTTATGAAAATCAGTCACGCGAAAGTAATCAGAACTTACTTTCAAAATTTTTCTTCAATCTTCTTGACCTCAAACAGATGCATAATATTCCAGCACTTAAAAGAGATAATCCAACAGCTGGGATTGCGATAATGAGAGTAGTACGACTTGAGTTAGTATCCTTTTCTGAAAAAGAAGAGCTCTTATGTCAGACAAGAAACTCACAGAAGACAGTGTTTAGACCCAATTAACAAAAATAGTTTTTAGAAGGGGTTGCACATTTAAAGCAATCCTTGGTGTTATTCTATCAGTTTCTTGATGAAATTACTTGAGACGGTGATATTTAAATCGAAAAAAAGAAAGACTCATGATGCCATAAAAAATCTCATTAATTTCTCATCTTCTGGTTATTTCATGCTTATACCTCATCCAAGAGGAAACATAAGTGTCTCAGGAAGTTATTACACTCAGAATCAAAAGTTGAATTACATCATGCTTTAAAATCAACTTAATGCAACCATACTCAAAAAAGGAGGAGCAGGGCAAGGAGGGGAAGGAGAATTGCAACCCCTAGGCTCTTGTTTGTGGTAGGAGCTCGTTGAAGTTAAAAGCATGCTTGCTCACATTTATTATCATGTTTGTCCTACAGACAATTGAAAACACAGATAGAATGCTCTGGCATAGGTAACTGTACATTAAAAAGAAATACCTTTAGTGGATGGGTTATGAGTTGGAGGAGGCGGAGGAGAAACTGGTGGTGCCAATGGTGGTGACGGTGGCGGATCATAAGCCGATGGATCAAAAAAGAGGTTTACGTCAAACCTGACATTGCAACTGGGACGATAAACCCTCCCTCCTATTTTCTGATTACAACACGAAAGAACTTCTGTAATATCATTCTGCAAACAATCTCTGCATTGTAGCAGTGACAAGTCTGGAGTGCACTGCGCAAGGCCAAACAGAGTTGTCGAGTTTGGAGCCGTCGCGTTTTTGACAGCAAATTTCCTCGTCGAATTGCCACTAGCAGCTTGGTCTCTCAAACCATCCATCAGATTTGTCAAAACCTAGAAAATAGAACCAAAACTATAAGCTACTGTCAGGAGAGAAAACAAGAATTGGTACATTGGCACGACCCAAACCATAAAACCATACCCAAAATCAAATGCGCCTGTGAGCTCATACTACCCTGAAAAGCTATGTGCCAATCCCAATGGCTTACAGGAATCTTAAAGTTCAAGAATTCAAGACGGAAGGAAAGAAAACACATTCTTTGAGAACAAGTCGCAGAGACAATTAAAAAAGGAACAAGAAAACCATAAAATAATTAGCACCATGATATAACCATGTGCTCTATAGGAAACTGTCTAGCACTTCAAAATGGGCTAGTGGTTGGTCCACTCTCGACGAGTCAAGACGACAAGAAAAGCATTACAAAGTGCATCTAGACCCGGATGAATTAGACTCGTATAGCGACCTGATCGAACTGATCCACATTGTTGGGCACATTGTCAAGCGGAGATGAGGATTTTCATGGTTACTATGTCGAAAACTTCGGAAAGTTTCGATGAAGTAAACAAAGTCAACACGTCATGAAGCATACCCTCTGCTTTCATGGAAACAAATGAAATGCAAAGTAATGTTTGAATCAGGAACAACAACTGATTCATGTAAATATTTAAATGAAAGATGCCAATCATAAGCATGTAAAAAAGAACTTTCCGTTTTCGAACCTGACTGAACTGAACGACATTGCTGGTGACATTGTTGGCGTACCGATTCCAGAAGCGAGGCCGCTCCTCCATGACCCCAAAAATGGATTGATTCGAGTACCGAAGCATGCAATATTCGTACACGAGGTACGCCTCCTTCTGCACCGGGCACTGGAGGGCGATCTGGGCGGCGGAGTCGGTCAGGCAGCTCAGGCAATCGGCGGCCCCGATGTCGCCTCGGCAGAGAGCGATGGCGTTGACGGCATCGGGGCTCTGGCCGGCAGAGAGGTTGTAGAAGCCGTTACCGACAGAGGCTTTTGCAGCGGAGACGACAGAGGCGAGGAGGGTGTTGCGGTTGGCCTCGTAGGTGCTGTTGGCGGTGAAGTTGCCGGTAATCCCGCAGAAGTTGAACAGAGGGTCGGGGCCATGAACGGAGGTGGCGAGAGCGAGGAGTTGGAGGAGAAGGAAGACGAAATGCGGGGGAGAGATCATCGAAAGCTTTCTGAGTTTCAGTTCCGTCACACAGAGACAAAGGATTTGGGGCGCGCGAAGGCACACCAATTACGAGAAAATACTAGGTACTCGGACCTCTGCAAGTGGGAGCACGTGGACTTCACTCGATAACGATCGAGAGAGAGAGAGCGCAAATCGACAACCAGTCAACTTTGGCCTTTTATTACATAATTAATACGACGAAAAATCTTAAACGGATATATTTTGAATTAAATTTATTTTGAATTAATTTTTTGATCATGGTACATTTATGAAATATTTATCCCAAATTAATTTTTTACCCATCAAACCCGAGAAAAGTGGCAAATGTTAATTATGTCTTGGGTTTGTGATCGTGAACAAGACCCGACTCAAGATAAATCATTATTTTTTGTGTACACCCAAATATGTGCCATGGAAATTCAGATTTCGTTTTCTGGTGTTAGAGTCCAAGTTCGACAAGGATTTCAAGCAAAACAGGAAGAAGGAAATTTACGGAAATTAACTTTCTTGAGCTCCGTTCAATGCATGGAAAATGTGACATTTCAGGAAAATATTTTTTAAAAAGTCATTTTTCAGGAGAATGAAAATATTTTCTAGTATTCAGTTGAGGTCTGAAAATGAACTGAAAAATATTTTCTTCCGTTTTGTATCCAATTTGATTTTCTAGGGAAAATTATTAAAGAATTCAAAACTTTAAATTATTTTTTTAATTATTTTTCTTCGTTTCTTTTTCTTTTTTTTTCTTCTTCCTTGGCCAGTCACTGGCCATGGCAACCGCCGGCAATCGGCCACAGGCAAAGTTTGCTAGAAATCGGCAAAGCTTTGGCGACCTCGGGCAAGACTCGAGCTCACCGGCCTTGGGTGAACTCGAGCTCGCCGGCCTATGGCGAGGCTCGAGCTCGCCTATGACCGGCCGAGGAAGAAGCAAAAAAACAGAAAGAAAGAAAAGGAAAAAAAATAAAAACAAAAAATAATTAAAAACTCGATTTTTTAAAAATAAAAAATAAAAACAAATATAAAAGGAAAATGTGTTATTTGAAAGAAAATAAGGTGAAAGAAAAAATTAAAAAATGTTTTCTGCTTTCTGAAAAGTGAAAAACGTTTTTCTCACTTTTGAAAGTATTTTTTTCATTGATAGTTTATTTTCTGTGAAACGAAATTTCAAAAAATCTGAAAAATATTTTCTTGAAAGTTGTTTCAATGAAACGAACGGAGTGTTAACGTGCTCTGGAGTTGCACTCAAGAATTGAAAGTCCTACTTTGACTTCGTCGTCGGTACGGCGGTTTCTTATTTTACGAATTGGAGTCATCTCCTCGGGCAGTGTTACACAATATCTATTGGTTGAGACGGGACTCGGCAAGGAGTTAGAACGAGAGAGCTAGAGAGCGAGAGCGCAAATCGACAAACAGTCAACTTTGTTCTTTTACTATAGGTAAAGAGTCCAATATCTAAGTCCCAATATTTCTTGGTTCATTAAAATTTAATATACATTTCTATTATAGTTTTTTTTTCCGCTTGTTCAGCACGTTACCATTCTTGTGAGATGTTATCGAACTCCTTAGTTATGATAATATTTAATTCCCGGTATAAGGTAATCGAACTCCTTCTCTAAGATATTACCAATATATGAATAATTCTTAAGTTTTTTTTATTACCAAATTAAAGCAACCCAAAAAAGTACAAGGCCGAAATGTAGAAAATGCCAATGATTAACAAACTTAGTCTCTCAGTGCTTATAGCACTTCACGCGAGAATGGTTATTCATTCGAAAAAAAAAAATCAAAGAGTAATACCATAGTTAGCATTTGAAAATAAGCAAAAAAAAGAAAAAGAAATATCATCATAGAATTGATTAAAATTACATTCCAAATTAGTATTTTCACCATCAAAACACTCTATCCAAAAACTTGAGAGACTACGTATATATAAGAAGCTAGGAGCAACAAGTGAAATTTGACAAATAGGGCCGCACACACAAAATAAATGGAATAAAATGTGGCTCTAATATTATGTTAGAAGATCCAACCTAATAACAGGTGAAGGGAGAACATTTGTATATAAATAGTATATAAACCTTATAGACAAATGATGCGAGATACTTTAAAACAAATACCTTCCAAACGATCCTTCAAAAATATGAGTCACGTGGCAGTCGGATAAATAGAAATCCAATAGTCTATTGAGATAAGTTGCGAGTGATAGTACCCTACGAAGTTACTATGTATGCTTGACAACACATATTTTCAATAGCTTATTCAAAAGAAAGAATCAATCTTCAACCACCCACTCCCTCGTTTCTCTTCTTCCTTGGCAAGTTGCGAGGAATTGAATACCACGATTGCAAGAGAACTGTAACTGTTTGCTTAGAAAATAGCAGTAGTCTCCAAATTTCATGACCAAAGACTTCGAGTTTCTCACCGGGCACGACCTTGACTCATGAAACACTTCTTTATAAAACAAAAGGAACGACCCAAGAACAGCTCATCGGCCACAGAGAGAGAGAGAGAGAGAGAGAGAGAGAGAGAGAGTAATAAATAAATTATGTGTGCAGAAGAGCAATGAAAATAAAGAAGTAAATATAAATGGAAAGATGCAAGTGTATGAATTAAGAAAGACCTTTCGACCCTTTACACATGGGGCCTGCAACTAAATGCACGACAGTCGATGTAAGTAAAAATAATATAAGGTGGATGCATAGGAGTGGTGAAGAGGGAAGAGATTAAAATAACCTTTGATTCCTTGGCTTTCGCACGTGAGTGAGAAAGGCCAGTCTTGGCCACTAGACATTTTTATGTACAAATGTCGATAATCTCATCCATTGGTAGAAAGCAATTGCATTTATCTAATTCAACAAACAAGCCTTATTCTTGAAGTAACTCTTAGTTTAATTCTTTTATTCGCGTCTATTTAATTTTTCTATTTGATTTAGTGATTAGACAGTGTTTCGGACAGTTTCTGTGCATCTCAAGTAGTTCACCTATCCCGAGCAATCTTAAAGCTACAATCCTTTACATCAACTTAGCGCGTACAAAAGAGAAATTTTCCAGCCGTCATATTTTCAACCAATGTTCATTTTTTTTATTGTAAGTATGGTATGTTATTTTGAAATGATATCAGCGCTTTCATGTGAATAAAATTATGTTTTAGGGTACATATTTACTGCTATTGACTTTTACGTAAAGTACATAATTGATAAACAACTAGTTACATATTGAAAAATAGTTCATCAACAATCATCTGAGCATTAGTATTAATAAGCCCTTTTCCTTTGCGTTAATCCATCTAAGTAGAACTTGAACTAAAAGTGTCATGCGATTATTTTCATGTATTTATTATTCCAAGAATATCTTTTATGTACGGATTCACATCTACATTTCATCCATATTCAATGTATTATTAGGCAAATCAATGCGAATAATGGACTTTTGAAAAAAAAAACTATCATCATAGAATTGAATAAAAGCACATTTTAAATCAGTATTTTTCACCGGTATTAAGTCCAATCCAAAAACTTGAGAGACCACGTTATATAAAGAGCTAGACAAGTGAAATACTTTAACACCCTTCTCATGTGCAATCCAGAATAGGAAAAATACGTGAAATTTGATTAGGGTCAACTATACTTCTGATTTGGGTCTCACCCTCACATTAATGGACTTCTAATAAACTTTTGTCGCATGAAAAAAAAAATAAACAAATAAACTTTTGTCACATGAAATTTAGCAGACGTAAGTAAATTTTCAACTAAAGATTAGGAGAATTATTAACCTGTTCGCACTTTTCCTTTCTTTCGATCTTCTAGGGGGGAGCATATTCAGGCAACCCGATTCGGAGCCCTGGATGCCTTTGATGTAGATTTATTACCTAAACAAAGGATCAATAAATCCGGAGAATTTGTACGTAATTTGCACTGATATCACGTGTTTTTTCAAAATTATTGTTATTTAAAGAATGTATCTGTTGCTATTGTTGGAGGCCCTTCGTCGGAATAAAAGGTGGTAAATTGGTAAAACGTCCAAAATATGTTACTCCAAAATATTAGAACATACAAATTCAGGCTCTTTTCGTTAGTCTTTACCTATTTAAGGGAATGTGGAGTTGTATTAAACAAGGACAAGTCAATACTATACCCTTCAATATACGAATCATGTTGCAAATTGTACTGCAAATCAGTACTACAATAGCATAGGAACATAACACAGGTTGAAGTCTCTCATTAGTAATCATCGTCGAGTATGGTTATTGCATAATCTATAAATTATGTGATAAGCTCTTTTCTTTTACGTTAATTCATAGTAACCTAAGTTGTATCGATTCACGTACTTAACATTATTCATACAACCCAATTAATAAGCGCTATTCCTTTGCGTTAATCTGTCTAAGTAGAACTTGAACTAAAAATATCATGTGATTCTTTTCATGTATTTATTATTCCAGGGATATATATTTTTGGTACAGTTTCACCTCCACATTCATCCACATTCAATGTATCATTAGGCTATTCAATGCGAATAATGGACTTTTTCATGAAGTATTTACGGTACCCTACATTATTTTACCACAGGTGCAAGGCCCTTTTACCACCTCAATGTGTTAAATAATGTCTCGAATTTGAGCTTGTGAACAAAACCCGACTCAAGATAAATTATTATTATTTGTGGATGCCCAAATATGTGCCATGGAAATTCAGATATCTTTTTTTTGGTGTTAAAGTCCAAGTTGGACGAGGATATCAAGCAAAACAGGATAAAGAAAATACCCGGAAATTACCTTTCCTAGTGTGCATTGCTGTTGCACTCAAGAATTGAAAGTTCAACTTTGACTTTGTCTTGGGTACGGCAATTTACTATTTTACAAATTGGAGTCAGACTCCTCCGGCGGTGCTATACCATATGTACTTGTTTAAGGGCTTGTTTCGGAGTGGGGAGCTTTGTGTTTTGCAAGTGACACCATGAAGTTCGGGCACATAGAGCTTTACATTAATTATTCAAGTGTC